GTGTAGTAGTAGCAGGAAATCCAGGTTGTACCCATCCGTTGTCCAAACAACGATTTCTGATTCCGTGAGAGGAGATACTACCGCCGTCGAAGGGTCGAAGGCACTGTCTGTCAGATGTAGGCTGTGTGTGTGTTTTGTGTGTGTGTGATTGGGAAAAGAGATCACTCTGGGAAAAAGTTGGCATATGTGTGTAGCTATCAACAGCGAGCTGCTATCATGTCGCAAATAAGAGACGCTCTGCTATATCTTGCGAGGGTTACGTCCACACCACCACCAGCATTCCAATGAGGAAGAAGGACCCGATCGCCATTTGATCGCCATTTGCGGGTGTTGCGCCTCCTGGGTGCCCGTTGGCTAATTTCACCAGTCTAACTTCACGTATTTATCGACTCGTGGGCCCGGGCCCCTCTCCTAGAAGTAGAAGAGGGACCCTCTCTTAGAAGAGGGGGTCGAACTCGCTCGATCCGCGAGTAAGCTCGCTTGTGGTGCTCGTACATTAGGTGAGGACAGAGAGACAAAACGGGCACGACCTGCCTCATGCTCCCGAGGCACAGCAGCACAGCAGCACAGCAGCACAGCAGCAGCAGCAGCAGCAGAGCACGGCGGTTGGTTTCGCCGCGATCTACGGAGGAGGCTGTCGGAGATTGGTATCCTTGTAGGCAATGTGCCCGTCAACGAGCGTTGGTGGTTTGTGTGGCTACTGCTGTGTGGGGTATGTGTGTGCGGTATATGTTTTTTTCTGAAGGTTTTAGAGTCAGGCGCCGTGATTCATATGACAATTTATTTTTTTGTTTGCCCTCCGACAATTGCAGATAAATGCAGACATACATAAAAAGTCGATCGTAAAGGCCGTCATGCCAAGCCAAATGAACTCGATGCCCAATAGCTAGGAATGTTTGCCTCTAAGTCAACAAAACTTTTGTCGAAACACTACATACAGCTGAACTCTAGGCACGAACCTTAGATATGGAGAAAAACGAACAAAACCCCAACCTCATCCACCCGAAATCAAACAAAACTCGGCCCCGTCTTCCCTGGTACCCCTGACACCGTATTGAACAGAAATCCGCTTTCCACCGAAGTGGTTAGGTTGAAGCTGTCGCACGCATATTTCGGCGCGCAAAAGTCTGTGCGGCATTGCTGATCGATACTGCCACCGGTCACACCAAGAGAGAAACATCCGCCGTCTTGCTCTTTCTGAGGCAACCCCCATTCAAGCCCATGTTCCCCCAGACCCCCGACACTGCCACCCCCTGTTCCTACTTCCTTGCCACCTGCAACCACAAGGGCCAAGCCCTCCCCCCTCAGCACTCCCGACACCGTATCGAACAGAAATCCGCTTTCCACCGAAGTGGTTAGGTTAAAGCTGTCGCACCCATATTTCGGCGCACAAACGTCTTTGCGGCATTGCTGATCGATACTGCCACCGGTCACACCAAGAGAGAAACATCCGCCGTCTTGCTCTTTCTGAGGCAACCCCCACTCAAGCCCATGTTCCCCCAGACCCCCGACACTGCCACCCCCTGTTCCTACTTCCCCGCCACCTTCAACCGCAAGAGCCAGGGTCCTTTCTCGTCGCACTCCTAAGAAAGACGCCAAAACAGTCAACGACAACAACTGGGCGCGGAACATGTGCATGCCGCCGACGTACGTTCAAAGGTTTCTACTCAGTAATGATCTGCTATTCCTTTGACGTCTGTCAATCTTCTGTTCAGGTTTCAGAGATCTTCTAGATGCTCTTTGCACCCAATCCCGCTCTCGGTACCTCGGCTCCGTCTGCTGCTGCTGGACCTAGCGACCGCCTTGCTCGATCTCCAATCGATCACGGGGTCGCGAGCACAGTTCCGTTCGGGCCTCCACGTGTGTGTGTGCTCCCAGCACGCGTGTCTCGAAGCTTCCTTCTCCTCGGCCCCTTTGACTGTTGCTTCCTCCCGCTGCTGCTGCTGCTGCCTGTCCCCTGATCTTCCTCTCACCACGCTGAGCTGCTCCTGCCGTTGACTCTTCCAGAAGCGAGGCTGCAGGATCTCCGATCGAGCTTTTGTTTGGATCTCTCCGGGACCACGTGTGTGTGTCGCGTACACGTGTTCCGATGTTGCCCTCTCGTATCAGTGGATCGTCGCCGCAATGGATCCAAACTGACTTCAACAAGCTCTCACCTCTACCAGCCCCTTCACTGCTACCTCTTATGTTTCCCTTCTCCACGATATCTCTCCACGCTCCTCCACGCGGATTTTCCTCTCTCGGTGCCTGAACTCTTTTTCCTCGGAAACCTTCCAGGCGGACTTTTTCGCACAATCTCCGATCAACTCTTTTTGGATCTTCCGCAAAGCAAGCACGTCGACGGGACAGGCACCATCCTGTGTGTGTCTGTGCACACGTGCCACCACCGCACTCCGGTCGATGCTGTCTGTGCTGTCGTTTCTGTCTCTGCTTCCCCCCCGCTGTGCTTGTCGTCGTTTCCTCAGCTGCTTGCTGCCTGCGGTTTTCAGCTGCTGCAAAGCCCGTGTAGCCCGACCCGTGCAGGATATTATGCACGATCTTTGCTTGGATCTTCCCCGAATCGATCTTGACCTGACGGGGACACGTGTGCTTCTACACACGCGTCCCCGCCACACACACTGGTAGCTGTCCCGCACCCGAAGCCGAGTAGGATTGATTCTAAAAATTTCACGACTCCGAAATTCATTTATTTCTGGGTACAACATCGACCTCTTCCGGGTACAGTAACCAATATCGGTACACCAAAGGGTCCTAATTCCAGCGATAGTTGTACCCGATGGAAGTTGGTTCCGAAATGCGTACAATGGTTTGTCGGCCAATCAGCTGACAGCCTGGGGGTGCAAGCGTGTTGATTTCTAACTGTACCCTAAAGTGGTGATCCAGTACCTGATTATACCCGTTTCTGGTTGCTGGTCTTTTTGAATCAATGTATGCATACTCCCTCGTTGGAATCAGGACGATCTCGGCGCGTTCACACCAGCCGTGGATCGACAGCTACGATGCTGCGTTCCCCAACAAAGCAAAATGCGAGAGACGGGCCAATCGATACGGTTTTGTCCATCGAGTCCATCGACCACTCACTGGAGGAGGACCGTACGCGGGATTGTCGAAGAACTGAACGGACACCCGCGCTCCGAAAGTTCCATTCCACGAGCCCCCTCTCTGCTCACTTACCGAGTATTCACGTCTTCACGTGTCACATGTTTCGCAATGGGCGGTAGCCAGCAGCACGTTGCTGCTGCCTCTCTGGGCCTCGCAGCAGCTCTATGTATTCCCCTTGTTCTGGTTGTCAGGTATCGAAAGAGTCGCGCCTACCCCATCGCTGCTCGGGCGCTCAATAAGCCGGTCATGGAACGTACGCCACCAGCAACTACTACAGCGGCAGCAGTCCGCAGAGCTCCAGAGGAGGACGAGCAGGTGTTCTCCCTGTACGGCCGCAGTGATGGCGACAGCAATGTCGATGCCGAACGACTCGCCCCGCCGATAGAGCTGTCGGGAAACGTCCTTGCCTTGTTGGATTCGTTCGATGTCGATCCAGTGCGAGGTGAGAGCGCCGTACTGCAGCACTGCAGTAGTGCTGACTTTTGAAATTTCTCCGCACAGACAGGCTGTGGGCAGCAGGCACCCTGAACAGGTTGCCGGCAACACCGCAGAATCACACCAAAGTCATGAAGCGTCGTACGGCAGCGTGCTCTCCCAGGTGTTGTGTGTTGGCGTCTGTTCATGAGGGAGAGAGAGGTTCAAAACATGCATGCAGTAGATTGCGTAAGATACCACCCCCTTTTTTCAAGCTCGGTTACCCCGCGAATCAAGAGGATTCCAACATAAGACGATACATTTTCGGAAAGCTCTCGAACATAACACGACACGTTTTCGGAAAGCTGTCGACGAGAAGGGTCCAACGCCAGCACAACCGCCATCGCGCGTTTGCTGCAAAGTAATTGAGCTTTGAAGATCGGTCCCGGGGTGTGGTATCTTACGTCATATTACCTACGTAACAGTAGGCTGTTAAGACCAGACGCGGACCATCACCCAGGTATTTTTCGCCTCACGCACCCCGTCCCTCTGCACCGCACTCATCAATAGCGTCGTGTTGAACAGTCTCCTGCTGTCGTTTTGCTTGTTTTTACCCGTATGCATCCATCTCTTCCCCGTGCAACGCTCTCGTCTTCGGGGTGTCCTTGTAGTTCCACTCCCGCCGCACAATCCCAAACCTCGTCGCCCGCCCCCTGCCTGCAGGTTTTTTGCCTCCGGTGGATCCTTTGCGAAGGCTGCCCCAACGGGAGTTGCAACCCTGGGAGGCGATGGCCGCAGCGCTCCCTTCCCTCTTGGCTGTCGGGCAAGCCCGCAAGCCTTTGGAAGAGCTCCCCGAGCTGTCCATAGGTGAGAGGGTGCATACTCCGAGTACATCACTCACAAGCACTGTTCTTAGAAACGCAAAGAATCCATCTACACGAGTCCGGGATAAGTTAGGGATGGATCCGTAACGTTTTTGCGTGATTGTTCGGACGTACAATTTGAAGCAGCAGCAGCAGCAATAGGCTAGCCTAGAGTCCAACCCTGAGCACTCTGTGTGGCGCACGGAATGCCCCTGTCGAAGCAACGGCATACCCCCGAGCGCTTGGACGGGCGTGCCATGAGCTTCATATTTTCCAGCTGGGGCGTTGGCCCCTGCACGTGGCGTTCTGGCTTTCCCAGTCTCCGGTGATCTTAATTCGTCGGCAAAGCCAAGCCAACACGCCTCCCTCCCGTTGGAATTGGCAGCAGCTAAGCCGAGATTGATGCACGTGGTCAATATTGTTGGTACCTATGCATGTGCACCTCTACCTGTTTTATCATGCTTGTGTTCTTTCCTACGAGGGGCAAAACGTACCCACCTGCTTGCACCCGCACTCCACGGAGAGTCTCTCTCGCTAGCACAAGCATCCGATATGTGCGCTCTGGGCAACTAAGCCGGGATGTGGTCGCTGGTCGCTGTGAGACCCGCTCGCCTTCATGCCCCACCCGTAGCCCCAACCTCCTCATACCTTGGCAATGGCCACCCACAGGAGTGTTTCCGACGAATTGTCCCCTTTTGCACGCCCGTCCCACCTTCTGACGCGCACAGACGTGCTCACGTGCCAACGGGAAAGGATGCGTGCGCTGCTGCTATTGTGCGTGTTCGCTCACGCCTCCGTGTGGGGAAACCCTGAGCAGCCGCAGGGGACCATCCCGAAGAGTGAGCGAACGGAATTGAAAAAGAAAAAATGTTAAATACAACGCGTGAAGAGGACACTAATCAGCAGCAAGGGTGGCTTGTTTGTGTTTGTCGTTTGTGTCTTCTTTTCCCGCCTGTCATTCTGCACGTGAGGCCGGCTACTTTCGCTATGCCTGGGCGCACCGGCCTGGGTCACACGCAAGGGGAAGGGCCACACCGCAGGAACTTTGTTTTTTTTCTGCACTTTACGTTGATGTAAACCCTGGCACGATAAATCTGTTATTCCCGATTGTGTTCCGCGGGCAAGGCTTTCGTGGCACACTGATGGAGCAGTGCTTTTTGCGCTCGCGAGAGGCTCCACGACCACCTGCAATGAGTGCGGCAGTTTGCTCGGAAGTCTCGGGCATCTATGTATGCCGCTGAAAAGTGATCGAAAACCAGGTTTTAGGAGACTTCATTTTACCGCCTTGGCCCCTCCCCTGCCGCCGCTTGCTGCTGGGGGGTTCGCGATGGCGGAAATCGCAACGTGTGGACTTTTCTTTTCCCGCTGAGACTGAGGCGATTTCACCCGTCAGAGCGTGTACATTGCTTGATTACACTGTTGTCGAAGCCGCCGGAAAACAACCACGCAACACCCACGTGATGAGAGCAAGCAAGAAAAGAGCCAGAGAAAGAGAGACAGACAGACAGACAGACAGACAGACAGACAGACAGACAGAGAGAGAGAAAGAGAGAGAAACATAGCATAACACCCCTCCCCTCTTCCGCTTCCCCCACCTCCTCGCCCCCCTCCATCCCCCCCGTACCCGCTACACAACCATCGCATCGAAGGCATCGCCGTTCCCCTGGCGGCCTTGGCGGCAGCGGAGGGGATGCCGCCGCTTCTCACACACACCTCCCTGGTGCTGCACAACTGGCACCGGCTGGACCCCGCCGGGCCTCTTCGTACGGAGAACCTGGCCTGTAATTGTCACTTCTTGGGTGGGCTCGATGAGACGTGGTTCTACATCTCCACGGTCGAGATCGAGGCCAGGGGGGGGGGCGTGTTCGGGGCTCTGCTGGAGGTGCGTGGGGAAACGATGCGCTGCGGAGTACACACACTCGTGCCGGTGACGTGTTTTGTGAACCCACCTTTCTTGGTGCAAATAGAGTTCGATTGTTGACCGATAGCGGGACTACGGTGTTGTTCTCGACATAAAGAGAGTGGAGGGCATCAAATGAAGTAAAAAACAGTTTTTCTGGCGCACCATTCTTGTTCGCGAGGCATCAGACCCGTTTGTTGTGCCGTCGGCTCTTGTGAGCATTACTCGATTTCCTTCTCCCGGAATTCGGTCGATCGTTGATGGGTTTCTCGCATGGACTGCTTACTTACCGTTGCCCTCTTTTTGCTTCAGCCAACAATTGCTGTCATCACGGCGGTGTTGCTTGTTTCTGAAAATCTCGACACCATCTACTAGTTCAATCGCCTAAAACCCAGGTGAAGATTCCCCCTTCAACATTGCCTCCGTCGACGCTGTCCCCCCGCCCCCTCCCCCCCGGGAATCTCGTCTCCTTGTTGTTGTTGTCTTCACACAACCGTTCCGGTCTCCGCTCAGTAGCTCCTACTATCCGTACTGGTCCAACTGACCCAGACCCCTTCAGTTATCAAAAGCGAACTACCCGAATATGACGAATTATTATCCGCCCGAAGACCAAACCTGTTGCGTTATGACCCAGGCAGGCTCAACACGCCATCGCAGAGGCTGACAGCGGCAGCGACGCATCGACGGCGGCGGGGGTGGTGCTCGATGCCCTCGCCGTGGCTTGCGCCGGGATCGTGAGCATGCGGGAGGCTCTGGCGAGGATGCCGGTCGGGTGCCACCCGCTCATCTTCTACCAGCGGGTCAGGCCGTTTCTTTCCGGGTGGAAGGCGAACCCGACCCTCCCCGACGGGGTGGTGTACGAGGTATGGTACAGCAGTGGTGGTGGTCCGGATATATCGCGGTCGCGAATAGCGCGGTTCTCGATATATGACCTTAAAAGTTCCTTCGCGTAACACATCCCCGTCGGGCATACACCGATCGATCCACCGCTCTTACTCGCCACCGCGGCGGCAGCCCGATGCCATCACCGTGTAGATTGGGAAAAACGTAGAGGGGAAAATAACCAATCCAGCTGATATGTTTAGTTTCTCATATAGTGCCCAGTGGTGTCGTAGGAGATGACATCCTCGCTTGATGGCCACTCGCGTAAGCATGATCCTAACCGGTCCTACCTCTCATCACCCCTGTGAACCTCCCCTCCTCCCTCCCTCCCCCCNGCCCTGACGGAAATCGAAAATTGGGCTCCCAAACATTTGTCGCGCCCCCTTCCCGCACCCCCCCGCTTGTCGAGATCAGGGTGTTAGCTCGAAGAGACGGCAGTACTATGGCGGCAGCGCGGCTCAGAGCACCCTGTTCCCCGCCCTCGACGCGGCGCTGGAGGTGTCCCACTCGGCGCACTCGTCCAACGCCTTCCTACTTGAAATGCGCAAGTACATGCCTCCAGGTGGGTGGTGGTCTTTATGCGGCGGTGGTGTTGTGCGGCATCCAGCCAGCCGGGCAAGATCACTCGAGCTCCGTGAGTCGAGCTCTGTGAGTAGAGTCGATGGAAATAGGGTTAGGGTTAGCGTTAGGGTTAGGGTTGGCTAGCTGGCTCGCCACCGATCGCTGTGCCTTTTTGGTAGGGTTGTATATCATCTGGGGTGATGCGTCGCTCGCTCGTTGGTCCTGATGCGTACGGCTACATGTGTCGTTGTTGTGTACGTGTTCGAATTGTGATGCTGATGTGTAGTCAACGATGAAGCTTTTTCGAGGGTTCGGTTATTCTGATTTTGTTAATTCGAGCTCTCGAGTGGTCAAGTTTTCTGGACATGTTAACATCTATGTCACTGTGAGTTTTCGAGGTTTCGGGTATTCTAGAGAGGCGTGTGTCCACCCCCACCCCGCGGTTTTCCCAACATGCACCCGCCACAATCGTCGGCGCTTGTCGATGGTTGGGAGAGAATACATTCCGGTTACGAACCGCCGTCCGATCCACGCGAGAACCCCTTTGTGACTATATCCTTTGGAGCGTAGACGCAGACTTGTTCGTTTCGCTAAAACCTCTTCCAGGACCTGCCGATGACATGAACACAATTCGCTCAGTTCATCTTCGTTTCGATAAACCACGCTGGCATCAGTTGCTTGCGCGCAGACGGGTCGCTCTGTCATCCGTACAACACCCCATCACGAACAACCCCCGTGCCATTTATCCCCGAACATGAAAAAAAAAAACGCAGGCCACCGCCGGTTGCTGGAACACCTCGCGGACCCTGCGTGCCCCAGCATCCGCCGGTTCGTTCAGAACTTCGCACGAAGAAGGTCGCAAGCGCTGCCGTCGAAGAGCGGTGGCGCCGGGACGGGAGGTGACACGCCAGACGACGTAACCGTCAAAAATGGCGAAACGACATCGGGAAATGGCTGCCGCGGGGGGGACACCACTGCGGCGGCCGCCTTGAAAGAGGCCTACAACTCGTGCTTGGGCGCGCTCAGCGATTTCAGGTGAGAATATGCTCGACTTGCAAGAATTGTCTCACTTTTTGTGGCACTTCATCCGAGCTGTGCTCCTTTGCACGACTTGTTCCCTCATGTTGTTGGAAACAGGGTCATCCAGGGCGGCAAGCAGAACCCGGGGTTGCCTCACATGTATGCATACAGTTAGGGGTGTCAAAGCGGCGGAATTTGGGGCCAAAAAAACGTCCGGTCCATTCGGCAAAATTTGAGGGGGGCACGCGGATTTGGTTCTTTATTTTGGTTCTTGAGAATCCCGCTGTTAATACTGAATAAACTATGCATCAAGTCAATTATTTGTGCAGGCAGCTCTGCGTCCAGACAGCAGCATGGCTCTTCATGCGTTACACACACCTGGACACAGGTCCAATGGAGGTGGCTGTAGGATAGGTTTTCTCTTGAAGTAAAAGGGCGGACGAACAACACCAAAAAACATTTTTTTGGGGGCTATTTGCTCCACGCCCAAGGCGACCTTTGCTTCTCTCGTGAAAGCGACCCTACAGCCCTCTACCTGGGGTTTATAGCTATACCACACAGCAAACCGCATCCGAATCGCATCAGCCAACCACGAGATCTACATGTCTGAAAACTGTCCCTCCAGTGGGGCTGCAGCGCCCACACCAGCAGACCCTCCCAAAAAAAAACTCGAGGTCCGCGCCGTTCGGCAGCAGGAGGCGCGCTGCGCGAAAGCTGAATCAAAACAAAACGAAGTTTGGAGAGAGGACGGGGCAGTGTATGGTTGCCGCGTCAGCAGAAGATAACACGCGGCGCGCTATCGAACGCGGCAGCCTCACCGTCGTAGAGAGAACGCTGAAGGAAATGAAGGAAGAGTTGGTCAAAAGTAAGAAAATTGTGGAAGAGAGCCAGGCTCAACCTCGCTGCCGCCGCCGCCGCTGCTGCTGCTGCTGCTGCTGTTTTTCTCAGCAGCAGCAGCGGCGGCGGCAGGTGTCTGCGTGGCTTCACCGCCCGGCTGCTGCTCGGGTGTGTCATGAGGCATGTGTAGTAGAATGGGACCGCGCAATGGTGTTGTGCTGTGCCCCATAGCAGGGCGCAAGCACACAGGCGAGCCGCGCCCTCGCGCGTGTGCGTCAGAGGGTCTTTTCGGGAGGTTCCGACGGTTCCGTGCAATTTCATTGGTTGGTCGATTTTCCATCAGCAAGATCCGGGGACGCTTTTTCGATTTTTTTCCTATAGGAAATTTTCCGCTTTGACACCCCTAACAGTAGCCTACTTTAAGTGTTGCCTCACATGTATGCATACAGTAGTCTTGCCGTTTGCGACGCAAACGATTCCCGTTATGTAAGACGACTCGTGAAGTGTTTTGTGGCGAATGAGACCCCCTATCTGTGGACGTCCTTTATACACCGGTACCCCGTTTTGCCGTCGCCCCGCCTCCCGTTCGCCCGCCACCCATCAAAAGGAGCACGCATTTGGGCATCGTAGGCTCTTACATTTTGCAGCAGCAGAAGAAGGACCAGAAGGTGAGAGACGTGAAGTATCGACCGCAACCCAGGCGGATCTGGAGCGATGTTGATATACCGAATCCACATCGTATTAAGGGGAAACCTTAGCCACCAAACGGGCAGTCGCCCACGCGGTGTCAGCGAAAGCTACTCGGACGACAAATATAGACAAGAGCTTTTCCGTCGTAGTGCATTGGTTTCGCACCGTTGCTAGGAACGTTCCAGGAATTGGTGGCAGGTCGACCTCTATTGCACCTCGACGTGGCAAAGACGGTTGGTTATTTGCTGCGACCATCGATCGATTGAAATGGATTTCGAGTATCGTTGAGGAGGCTTGCATCTGTTGTGATTAATGTAACCGGCCTGTTTGGTAAGCTTGAAACCTTGTTTGCAATGCATGCAAACCCTTCCACGCAACCACCACATAGGGTTCCGGACAAGTTGCTCCGGGATTTGCACATAACAAGAGGGGACAATATTCTGCCGGGGCCCCTGAAGGCTTACAGGAGTTGACCATGAGATACACTGCTGTCAATATCTTTCCGTTCCTTGGGGCCATCTCTCTCTCCCGCGCGCGTCGACCTTTCCTTTTCCTCCTCCCGGTTGTGTCTGTCTGCTTACCGTGTTTCGGTTGTTGTCTTCGCATTCAAAACCGTTCCGATCTCTCCGCCTAGTACCTTCCTCTGACCGTACTGATCTACTGTTTGTCGCGTACCACTTGACGCGGTGCCTGCCAACCATTAACATCAGGCGGGGGAAGCCAAGTCCAGGGAGGACTTCGCCGGGGGCAAGGGCACGGGAGGGACGCCGCTCCTCGACTTCCTCAAGCCGCTCAAGAACGACTCTCGCGCCGTCCGCCTCGAGTGACCCGGCCGCTGTGTAGCTTTTGCCGTGTTGTAGTTGGCCGCGGCATCTCCTATCAACTGAAGATGTTTCGATGTGCCGCACAGTGACGTTAGGCAGTCGATTCTTACCACTGTGGGCTAGAATATTGAAGTGTTTTTGTCTTCGGGGGTTTTGTCCACGGGCGTGCTTTGGTGCGATACGGCAGTGGTTGTGTTCAAGGTATTGCTACTACCGCAGCCAGACTTTGTTTGCACTTGGAAGCGGCGCATCGTTGCACACGACCAAGTGACTTAGCGTTGTAGACGTGACGGGTCTTTTCGAAACAAGATGGCCACCAGACTGTCTTGTTGATCCGTTGAGCCTGCCACCCGCAGGGAAGATACAAGATATCACTAGATAGTCTGCACTACCAAGTGGGGCTGCTCCGAGATTAGTAGAAAAACAGGTGGGTCATACGACACTGACTTTATCGGTAATTTATGCCGCACTTTGTCTACAATAGAGACGGTTTGTTTTGTGCAGACACTGGTCTATGGATACCAATGGTTCGTGTTGTAGAGATTACTTTGTTATGCGAGAAAAGTGTGAAATCAAGTACACCTGGTAGTCACCTTGTGGGAGTGCTCCGATACGTTGTCGAGTGACGGAAGGAAAGGAACATAATTCCATTTGATTTTTCGTATATAGCACAATTTGAAACAACCAACCTTCGGCACCCCCCCGCCCCCCCACTCTCTTTCTCGAGGCTGCCAATCGATGTGCATCTGAGCGCGACGTATGCCCTCGTAACAGCAGGAGTGCATGAGCCGAAGGGCATGGTGATGATTATTGCGAAAACTCGAATGAATGTGCACCCCTATGCTACAACTGCGACAAACAGGAGGGCACAACGGTTGATGCTCGCAGAGGCCCTGACAGGGCGATCGGCCGTATCTGCAGCTTTTGGCCTGGCGTTGCATTCGGCGGTTGCCACACGCGAAGCGTCCGAGCGAGTATTGGAATCTTGGCGCGCAGGTTTCCTCTGCGGAAGCTTCGGAGACTTGGAGTTCCATCGAAGATATTTCTGCATATCCAAGAACCAATCCGGATAAACCGAGCCAAAGAATATGACTCTTTATATTCTTTGAACCGAGCCGAGAAGACGGCCGGAGAGATGCCACCCACACAACCGCGTACACACGCTCGTAGCATCTACGACACTCGGGAAAGAGACAAGAGACTGGCCTGTGCTTCCTTCAGTAGCAGGTAAACAGCTCGGTCCTTTTGGAAACTCCAATGGCTGTGTGAAACTTTCAATCAAAGCTCTCGGGGATGCTTCGACTACGCATGTACTGCCGTACCTGCCGAGTGTATCGCCACTCTTGATCCTCCTCCCTTTCTCTCTGGCGGCGTAGCCCACCCAAAGGTAGCGAGCGATAGAGTTAAGCTCAACTGTATGCCGTTTGGAGGCACGGTAGGGGTATTGAGCATTTCCGGCAGCCTCCCAGATGTTAAAACACTGCTGTGCAGCTGCTTGGTTATGGCGCTGATGTTGGTTATGCACATGGCAGACAGCAGTCGAAAGCGCCGGTCGTGCTGCAGTGAATATAGACTACAGGTGGTGAGCAGCCATCTCCCTGACAGTACTGCCTTACAACAGCAGTACTGTTGTAGCAGTAGGATGTGGGTTCGAAACTCTCTTGTGAGTAAACTCTTTGCGATGTTGTTGTTGCTGATGTTGTGGTTATTTTGTCTCATCTACCCGTACAAAAGCAGTTGACGCCGCACAACGGGGCCTGCGTTCTGTTGGGGGTGATGGAAATCAATTCGTTCGTGCCTGGTCTACAGCAGTAGGCTACCCTACGGAGCGGACTCATCGCCATTGTCATGAGGACACAGAGTAATGTTCACCAAGGGGTGATGAACGATGCGAGAATAATGGCGGTAGCGAATCATGCTGTGGCAGGGTTCAGGGAGACAGCCGATCTGTTTTCGAAATTTGGACTGTTTTCAGAAACATGACCGAGCGAGCACGCAGCAATCGCGAAACACCCGGCAGTTGCCACACAGATCAGCGGGCGGGGGGTTGTCCGCAACGGCGTATCACGTAGTCTACAGTACCCCCACACACGTTCTCTCGAAACCAAGACCAATATTTCCACCAGTCTTTAGTCAAGAAAAAATCGGTGAAAGGCGGGTGCTCAAAACAAGGTCATTGCGGAGAGTCCCGACTTGGGGGGGTCTATTCCAGTAGAGGGCATCATAGAGCAGCGGCATATTCGCCTGCAAGCCCACATCTGCTGCTGGGGCCGTGCTGTTGCAGCTGCGGTTGGAAAAAGGACACAGGTCTGGGTCCATACCATTGACGAACCAACGCTGTGCGCGCCGCCACAGACCAATATCCCTCAACGCTCTCAGACCTTCGGGCCCGCACACGTGATCGACTTCACTAGTCGCGAGGGAAGGGATTGCTGTACCCTTCGCGCGATAAAAATATCTCAGGCAGGAACCGCAGGAGGGGGTCCAACCCCCCCCTCCTATGTGACCCCGGTTGGGTCGTCTAGCTGGTAGAAGTGGAGGATAGGGGCCAGAGGGGCAGACGACAGAATCCAATGATGGGAGAAAACAAAACAAAAAACAAACAAAACGCGCACCAGCGTTGCGACGGATGGGACGAAAACGACTTTTTTTCTCCGTGTCTACTATCCACACATGCGGTGTCGGGGGTCGAGCGTGGTCCCAGTCGCTGGGGCATGAGGCTGTACGAACCAGCAGTCGATGACGGCGATAATCCCCCCTTTTGTTTGGTTTGACTGACCGCCCTCAAGCGTTCGGCCATCAATCAGACAAGATCGACTCGACCAGGTTGACCCGGGAGGGCTCGGGCTTCCTGCAGATTGTCGAATGACATCGGGCGAAATCTGTTGCGCCGCGGACAACTGGATCTGACGTTCTTTATCCTGTGCTAGAGCCCCCCAATCCAGCGGCGGCGGCGGCGGCGGCAGGCAAATGTCCGCAACGACAACGGCGACCTCAGCCTTAGGTGAGTGCGGGAGGAGGAGGGTCGCGGTGAGGCTGGCCTTCCTCTCCGCGGTCGTCCTCAGTGTGGTCGTGGCGCTAGTCGTGGTGGAGGTCGGGGTTAGCCTCCGCTGGAGCAGCAGCAGCAGCGGCGCGGGCGCCGCTTTTCTCGCCGACAAGGCTGCCGGCGGTGGGGACGGCGGCGAGGACGCCGCCACCACCGCCGTTGGAGGGGCGGAGAGCGAGGACGCTTCCCCCGGTGGGGAGGGCGTGGGAGCCAAGCGGGCGTATGCGGTGAGATGAGAGTGCCGTTGTGGATTTTGCCCGCAATGCGTGGCGGCGGTGGTGTGCTCATCACCGTGCATGCCGTTGTCGTTAAACCATTGACTTCGCATTCCTACAAAGCCGGGACGGAGCAGGGGGGCGGGTGGTATCTTTGGAAGGCCGGGCGGTTGTTGCCATTGTCCGGCTGTGGTTTCCATCCTCGTCGTCTTCGCCATAATGCCTTTGAAGTCGGACATTGTAGTAGTATTTCATGTCAACATTTTTTGCTTCTGGTACTAGACTGACGGAGGCTAAATATTCAGTCGAAAGGGTGCCGAGTGGAACTTAAGCGTTACAACGCTTTGGGGAGTTTATCAGCCAGCATGCTCGACAACATGCTGCTGGCAGGCCCACCGTCTCGAACCATCGTTTGCGGAAAACCTAGTCCTATCCATTGCTCAACTGCTTCAAGTAGATGTACACGCACGAACGTTCAAATTTGTGGGCCGCTTGCTGCTTGTTACGTGTATAGTTACGAACATTCAAATTTTATCGGCCGCCTCTGCGTCCCGCTGGGTTAGGTGGCGTTCCCGGATGTTCGCGACCCCCTCGTGCTCGAACGGGCTCGGGCGCTGAGGAATTCCCTAGGGGCGCTGAAGAGTGACGACGAAGAGATCGTTGCGATCGTGCGGCGGTACTCCGGAAAGCAGCTCGTGTCCCCCCTGACAGATGCCGGATACAGGTGAAGCGAAACGTTGTGCTTGGGAAGGCGTCTAGATTAGGCGTGCATCGCTGGCAGGAAAACGGGATGTCCACCAGACCCTTGCAGTGAATGACGCAGCTAAGCCAGGAATCAAGCAGCTTTTTTTCTAGCAGGTGTCACAGATGACGTTGCTTCGACATGTCTCCTCGTGAAAGCCGCCGGACGGTCGGAGGCTGTCAATCAACGGCTTTTGCCGGTAAACACTGGCACATCCCGCCCTTGTGAAACAGCTTTTTAGCACACACACCCCTCCCTATAGCGCACCATGGGACTCGCCGAATACTTCTCGCGCTTGGTTATGTGAGAGCCTGATCGGGTGAAAACCCGGCGTGCTCCGTCACGGCTTTGCAGGGATGCGAGGTCAATGGTCCATCGACTACGGCATGCACGGCAATGAGTTCGCCCGCACCCGCACCCCCCTGAAACCGCGGGGCAATAAAGTTGCCTTGTATCCGGTTCCATTCCTCTTGCCCACTATTACCCCCCCCGCCAGAGTTCTCCTGCGAGACACGCCTGCCCCACCTTGGCGAACGAGCGGGAGATTCGTGCAGCAGGCCATGGCGGCGACCGGAGCGGGGTGGGGGAGCGAAGGTGCCGACGACGGTGTTAGTGGTGGTGGTGGTAGTGGGCACGGCTGGAATCTGCTAGCGCTGGAGGCTCTGTCACTAACGGAGTACGAAGAGGTTGTCGTCCTGGACCAAAAGGTGTGTGGGTCGCGCTGCCGCCGCTGCTGCCATTGACAGCTACCGGGGCCGTTGATTGGTAAGAGCTGTTTGTATCGAGCGTAGTTTTCGTTAAAGGGTGAGCAGACGTCCCGGCTTTGATGTGTGCGTTGTGTGCAGGAAAGACAGGGTTTTCGTGCAGAACCGCGTCCCGCGGTAGGTTGAAGCCCACTTCCTCTGCCCCCGGTACTACCGTAGTTTTGTCGGTTTTCGCGTGCCGGGACGCCCCGTCGACCGAAAGCTACACACTTTCCTTTCACTTCCTCAACCGGTTTGGCGGCACCGCACTGTTTTTCCTCTTCCAAATCGATCCGGCTTCGGGTGCTCACACATGGAACCAAACGAGAGCCCGCCCTCCCCCCCCCCCCCCCCCCCCCCCCCCCCCCCCCCCCCCCCCC